CTTTCCACCCTTCCTTGAGTAGGAGACCTGGTCTGCCTGCATCTTTCCATCCTTCCTTGAGTAGGAGACCTGGTCTGCCTGCATCTTTCCACCCTTCCTTGAGTAGGAGACCTGGTCTGCCTGCATCTTTCCATCCTTCCTTGAGTAGGAGACCCGGTCTGCCTGCATCTTTCCACCCTTCCTTGAGTAGGAGACCTGGTCTGCCTGCATCTTTCCATCCTTCCTTGAGTAGGAGACCCGGTCTGCCTGCATCTTTCCACCCTTCCTTGAGTAGGAGACCCGGTCTGCCTGCATCTTTCCACCCTTCCTTGAGTAGGAGACCCGGTCTGCCTGCATCTTTCCACCCTTCCTTGAGTAGGAGACCTGGTCTGCCTGCATCTTTCCATCCTTCCTTGAGTAGGAGACCTGGTCTGCCTGCATCTTTCCATCCTTCCTTGAGTAGGAGACCCGGTCTGCCTGCATCTTTCCATCCTTCCTTGAGATAGCAGTTTGCTGGGACGAGGGAGTCTTCATTCAGCTCCTCGCACTTCCTCCCAGGCAGCTCTGTACATCGGTCCAGTTCTGTGTTTGAAATGGAGTTTTGTTGATTCTAAAATTGCTTGGATTTGGGGCTTTGAATTCTTCCTGGTGTGTAGAGTTTTGTTTTAACAGGATTTAACAAGCTGTGCTGGTTCTTCAGCTAAAGTCCCTCAACCCCGAGCCCGCCTTTTGTGATCAGCTGTGGGACCCGGGTCCGTGTCCCCTTCCCCCTGCCAGCTGGATCCCTGGCAGGCTCTGCCTCCTGGAGGGGCAGGGGGCAGGGGGTGGGGGGCAGGGTCCTGCTCCTTGTCTGCCAGGGCAAGGCTCTTCCCCAGCCGGGCAGCACCTTCTTGCCACAGCCGGAGTCCAGGTCCCAGCGCACTGGCCCTTCACCTGGCTGCTGACGTCAAAGAAACTCCTCTGCCCTGTGTCCCAGCCCCAGGGTGTGGCCGCCCCTGTGGCTGCCTCCCGACAAGGAGTCTCTAGCTTTTCAGTTCTCTGAAACCTGGTTAGCAGTTACTGATATGAAGTCCTCTGTGGAAACAGCTGGTGTGGCTTTGCTTTCTGCCCAGACCCCGATGGTGCACCAGGAGTGCGTAGGGGAGGTCTAGCCTCACAGCCTCCACGGAGGAGTACTTAGATGAGCTAAAAGGTCTCCTTGGCGAGAGTTTATTTGTTCAGTAAGTGCTTACTGAGCACCTGCTCTGTACCAGGCACTGTGGGAGGGTGGGGCATAGTGGGCACCGGGCTCTGGTCTGGTGTGGGGGCTCTGTAGGTGGGGAATTTCCCGTTCAGAGTGTAACTAGGACATCACAGTGTAGTAGAACGGGACGAGGTCTCCCCTGCCGCCTCCTGTCCTGCCGTGTGGCCCTGAGCAGGTCCTCACGGCCTCCGTTCTCCTCTGCAGGTCGCGGAGGTCACTGGCAGTGTTGGACGAGCCTCCCCCGAAGTGGTGGTCCGTGGGACGGCTCCGTGCTGACGCTGAGTGGCCGAGGCAGCTGGGCACCCTGGGCAGTGGGTGGGGCCAGTAGACCCGGTTCTGCTCTCACCCTCTTTATGTGTTTTACTCCAGAGTGATCCTGACACCTCTCTGGTCTCCTTTGTGATGGGGAGGCATCCCTTAGGGCCCCTGCCACCCCTTGCATTCGAGGCGACAGGAATCAGGTGGGTTGTTTCTGTAGGTCCTAAGCGGGGCCAGGAGCAGGGCCCTTTGGTTCTGGCAGCGCCCTGGCCACATGCCGCCCCGCGTGGCTGCTGGAGTTGGTGCTGGCAGCTGGGCTGTGTTCGCGGTGCCTGGAGTTAGGCCTCGGACCTGACTCTGGGCCGTGAGATGGAGTCTGCCCCCCGCACTCTGACGCTGGGGTGCAGCGGCTGCGAGCGGGGCTGTGAGATGGAGTCTGCCCCCCGCACTCTGACGCTGGGGTGCAGCGGCCGCGAGCGGGGCCGTGAGATGGAGTCTGCCCCCCGCACTCTGACGCTGGGGTGCAGCGGCTGCGAGCGGGGCCGTGAGATGGAGTCTGCCCCCCCGCACTCTGACGCTGGGGTGCAGCGGCCGCGAGCGGGGCCGTGAGATGGAGTCTGCCCCCCGCACTCTGACGCTGGGGTGCAGCGGCTGCGAGCGGGGCCGTGAGATGGAGTCTGCCCCCCGCACTCTGACGCTGGGGTGCAGCGGCCGCGAGCGGGGCCGTGAGATGGAGTCTGCCCCCCGCACTCTGACGCTGGGGTGCAGCGGCTGCGAGCGGGGCCGTGGCAGCGTGGCAGCGTGGCCTGGCGTCCCCTGCTCACCTTCTTGAGCAATTGTGATTTGCTTGCAGTTTAGAAAGCGGAGTTGACTTGGGGAAAAGGAGTTGCTGCTTCAGCCATTTTCCAGTGGTCATTGCTGAGCAGTCCTGAGTGGGGAGCAGCGTGCCCCCTGCCAGCGGGGCTGATGGGTGGTTCTCTAACAGGTCACACGTGTTTCTCTTCAGCAGTGGTCTCTCCATGTGAGATTCCTTTTTTGTTTTTTTTATCCTCACCCGAAGACATTTTTGCATTTATCTTCAAATAGAGCGGGAGGGAGAGAGGGGGGAAGAGAGAGAGAGAAACATCGATGTGAGAGAGACACATTGAGTGGTTGCCACCCACATGGCCCCGGTTGGGTCAGGGACAAACTGCAACCGAGATACGTGCCCTTAGCGGGAACTGAACTCAGGACTCTCTGGTCCGCGGGCTGATGCTCTAACTGCTGAGCCAAACCGGCCAGGGCGTGAGACTCCTTGTCGGGGCGTGTCACCGCTGAGCTGACTCAGCTCTTGCAGGAATTTTGTCTGTCTGCTTGCTTGTTAGATTTTCCTTCTATTTCCTCTACGTTTGCAGCTCTCAGAGCGCAGCCGTGCGAGGCAGGCGCCTCCTTCAGCATCGCCTTGCTGGGGCCCGGCCAGGGCTGCCTGGTTCTGCGCGCCGGCTCTCAGCTGATCTGCGTTCTTCCCACAGAGCCATGTGCTCAGCACTCCCCGCAAAGCACACGCACAGGCCAGCAAGTACAGGATTTGTACAAAGGCTCGCTCTTCACACTGGAGCCTTCTTTGGTTTAGTAGCAGATGAGGAACACTGTCCTTATGGTTTCTATGCGGCCACAGCACTGAATGGCCGTGCGGACTGCGCGTCTCGGGCCTGGCCCGCTCTCTGCTGTTGTGCACCGAGGCCCCTGTTGTTTGGCTTCCACTCCACTGGCCTTCTCACAGATGCTTGTCTGCAGACGGGCCCTGCGCTGGCAGCAGGGTCAGGGGGGACGGACAGACAGCGCCTCCGCTGCCCTCGGCAACGCACAGGCTCCTGAGACATGCCACAGAGGCTGGTGTGTGCAGTTTCATTTTGCCGAGGTCAAAGGAGATCTAAGGGAGATGCCCCTGGGTGAGGGCCGGAGGGAGGGAAGGGCAGGTGGCAGGGACCAGAGCCGGTAGAGCACGTGGAGATGCCCCTGAAGGACATTGAGCGGGGCTGCAGGGCAGGTGCGGGGCAGGCTGCCCAGGGAGGGAGCCAGTGGGGCCTGAAGGGCCTGGCTGTGACCTGCTGCCCCTGGGCCGGGAGGCAGCAGCGCGCCTGGAAAGAGCTGGCTGGGTTCCGCACACATTTTCTAGATGGAATCAGCTGTGGGGCACAGTTTTTGGAAAAGTTTTCTTAGACCAGTGTTTCTAGAGACTATGTCAAAGCCAGTGACGGAGGGAAGCAGCATGGTGAGGGAGGAGCAGAGGGATCGGGGCTCAGACGTGCGAGTGGGGTGGCACAGATACCTGCAGTCCGGGCAAGGGCCTGGACCGGCCATCTGTCGTCACCGAGAAGCCTGAGGGGCCCGTCACCAGGGCCAGAAACACCTGGGCGGGGCACATCTGTGTCTGGACTGGGACCACTAGGCTCACCCCAGGAGTGTCTCCGAGGCCAGCATGCAGAAGGCAGGATCTGGTGACCCCCAGACTGGCAGGCAGGCTCCGAGTGACAGGCAGCAGTTGTAAACCAGTGCTGTCTCTGCCTCAGAGGCAGCATCCACAGGTCACCTGCCCATTCCTGGTTGGGGACAAGCAGACCTCCCGTGCAGCTTGGCCCCTTAGTGGGCGTTGCGGCTGGGCTCCAGCGTGGGCACAGTGCAGAGGCCTCCGTGCTGCTTGGCCCCTTAGAGGGCATTGCGGCTGGGCTCCAGCGTGGCACAGTGCAGAGGACTCCGAGCAGCGCTCTTGCTGGCACCTCTGTGGGCGGCGTCACTTTCAGGGTGATGGCGTCCGGGCCTCCTCCGGGTCTGGCTGCGCCCAAATAGGTCATCTGTCCCCAGCGCCCTTGGCTTTTCTTTGAGTGGTCCCTCTGCCTACCCTTAGGCTACTTCTGTTTCAAGTCCCCAGGAAATCAGAGCTGTTCAGCTGTGTTGCTTTTTATTTTAAAGATGTAATAACTTATTTGCTGGAACCACGATCACATTTGGAGAATCGTCTAGCATAATAACAGTGAATTAATTCTAGTCACTTCCCAGAGAAAGAACAAGATGTTTCTCTGGCCGGTTATTTCCTGCACCTGAGTCGATTTGGACGTCAGACGCCAGCTGAAGGTCCAGGGAGTCTTTAGTTCCCCAGAATGCTTGTGAAGTTATGTAAGAGCGCGGCCCTGCGCAAACCAGCCTCGTGTGAATAATGATCCTGTCATTGCGCTTTTACAAGCGTTCACACCTGCTGTTTCATCGGCTCTTGGTGACAGATCCCTGGTGACGGTGGAGGTTGAGGCGGGTCGTGCCCTGGGGTGCATGGTTGGGAGGGGCAGAGAAAATCCTCGGAGCCCCTAGATGACTGTCCGGCTCGTTTTTTCTCGAGGTAGTGGCTGACACCATGCAGCTCACCCGGGGACATGGTCTGGCTGTCTCGGCACCACCGGCCCTCTCTCTCTGCAAGGTGGTGCGTCAGGCAAAGCTAAGCACCTCTCCCAGGAGACAACTCAACTTACCTTTTCTTTGTGTTTAGGGCTCAAAATTCGGGCGGGGACTTGGACTCGCTCAGCCTTCTCAGCGCACCTCTACTCGGAGATCATTCGGAAGATCCAAGAGGTTTAGTGTCACCCGCTCCCTTGATGACCTGGAGGTAAGCATTTTAGTTTCTCTTCCTCAGGGTTTTAGAGGGGAACATTAATGTACAGATACATCTGAATCTCCTTTGAATTCCAACTGATACCACTCCCCTCCCGAGGTAACCACTAGCTTCTAATGCACATCCGGGCACTTTTCTGCCCCTGTACATGTCCCCAGCCCGTCCTAGCGTCATTAGTGCTTTGTTCTGTGTGCCAGATGCCATCATAAACACTTATGGGAAGAAGGAAGGGCCTAGCATTACCCCGTTTATTTTTATTTTTTTAATGTATTTTTTTTCTTTATTGATTTAGAGAGAAAGGAAGAGGGAGGGAGAGAGAGATAGAAACATCGATGAGAGAGAACATCAATTGGCTGCCTCCTGCATGCCCCCCACTGGGGATCGGGCCCACTACCTGGGCGTGTGCTCTGACCAGGAATTGAACCGGTGACCTCTTGGTGCAGGGTCGACACTCAGCCACTGAGCCACACCAGCTGGGCGGCAGCATTATCCCGTTTAAAGATCCGATACTGACACCCAGATAGAGAATGTCATTTGTGTGGTTCTTTCCTTTTATCTACATTCCTTAAAAGTTGAATCGACTTTACTTCTAGAGCAGCTGCAGGTTCGCAGAGGAGTCAAGCAGAAGGCACAGGGAGTTCCCGTGTGCTCACCGCTTGCCCGGTGCTGACACCCTGCCCGTGTGGTGCGCCTGGCACACCGGATGAGGCACCTTCTGATCCGCCGCAGCCCGAGCGCGCGGAGCCTTGCTCCCGGGGGTGCACGTTCGGCGCTCAGGACAAACGCTCGGTGTCACCAGTCACCATTGGAGCGTCGTGCAGATCGCCTCACTGCTCTGACGTCATCCCTCCTGCCTCCCCCGAACCTGGCCACCAGGGGTCCTTGCACTGGTTCATTCCACGTGTTTTAGCGTCTCCAGCTGCACTCACTCTGTGAGGCTGTCTCCCACCTTTGAAGGCGGCGCAGTGCTTTCAGGACTCACCCTGCAGCGCCCGTTCAGCGGCGCCCGGGCCGTGTGGCGTGCCGCTCGCGCGCCGGCTGGCACCTGGAGCTGTCTGCGGAGGGGCCTGGCCCAGTGCCACGCACAGTGCTTCTTCCCGCCAGGGCTCTGGTCACCTGCAGGATGTGCGTCCCCGGGACCCCTCCTCGCTGTTACTTGGTACTGCAGACCTGAATCTTTCCCCGTTTCAGTGGAATGGCAGCTCGTTTTAACTCATATTCCACCGAGTATGCGGGAGGCTCAGCACTGCATCCCGGTTTTCTGGTGGTTTTCTCCTTTTTACATTAGTAGCTTCTTTATATTATTTTTCTATTGAGTTGTTTTCAACAGCTTTTTAGTAGTTCTTTATATATTCTGGATATGGGTCCTCTGTCAGATAAACATTTTGAAAGTATCTTCTCTGGCCTGCTCTCCCTGGTTCAGGGTGTCTAGTTAAGTGTGTGTGTGTTAGTATATCTGCGTGTGTGTTTTGGATTGTGGTGAAGCATTCTAACAGGTCAGTGCACAGGCTTGAGCACATTCGCAGTGTTGGCAGCCGTCACCACCGTCATCTCTAGAACTTTCCGTTGTCCCAAACTGACACTGTCCCCATTGGACACTGACTCCCCATCCCCCTGCCCCTGCACCCACCAGTCTTCTTTCTGTCTCTGTGAATGTTACTCCTAGGGACTCATGTCCGTGGAATCCACAGTGTATGTCTTTCTGCGTCCGGCTCATCTCGGCTGGCCTGCTCCCCCGGGTCATCCGTGTGCTGGCAGGTGTCAGAGCTCCCTCCTTCCCAGGCTCAGCGCTTCTGATGGGTTCTCACATTCTGTTTGTTCGTCCGTCTGCTGATGGACACTGGGTTGCTCCCACCTTTGGCTGTTGTGAATGATACTGCAGTGAACATGGGGATACAGATACCTGTTTGAGTTTATGTATATTTTAAAAATTAACTTAAGTTCAGCTGGTGTGGCTCAGTGGTTGAGCGTCGACCCTGCACCAAGAGGTCGCCGGTTCAGTTCCTGGTCAGGGCACATGCCCAGGTTGTGGGCCAACCCCAGTGCGGGGCACGCAGGAGGCGGCCAGTCAATGTTCGCTCTCATCGATGCTTCCATCTCTCTCTCCCTCTCACTTCCTCTCTCTCTAAAATCAATAAAGGGAAAAAAATGTAAAAATAATTAACTTTAAGACAATTTGTTATAGACCTAATAATAAACTGGAATACATTAATTTTGGATGTTTTTTCTTAAAACTATAAGTTAATTTGTGTTCTGCTGTGAGACTGGATGTCCCAGCCAGGCCAGGCCTTTGAGACCTCATCCTTGTGCCACAGAGAGGGAGGTCCGGGCTGAGCGGGGGTGTGCAGAGCGTGAGAGGTGGGCTTCGGGGCGCAGGGAGCGGGTGTGCGTGGTGGCTGGAGACAGGAGCCTGCCGATGGCCTGCGTGGTCTCAGGGTGCTCACGGCCTTCCAGGCCCGCCTGCTCCCCCAAGGCCCACCCACCCGCTGAGGACCCTCAGAGCTGCTGTGTCCCTGCTAGAAGGTGGGTCTCAACCAAGCCTGCGTTCTCTGTGTAGGATCCTTTTCCTGGAGGAAGGATCTCTGAGACTCCAAGGGGCGCAGAAGCCCGGGCCTGATCACCTGCTGCTCGGCGACAGCGTGGGGTCTGCCTTCATTTCCTGGCCTGTGGGCCTGGCACTTGCTTGGTGGCTGCATGGCTCTGCCTCCGCTCCGGAGGGGCGCTGAGGCTCCTGCCACACAGTGAGGCAGACGGGTATCCATGGCGTTCACCTCTGATCTTCAGATCAGCCCAGTGAGGACACTGTCATCATCCCCTTTTTATAGCCCAGACTCGGGGAGCTTCGGTCAACATTGTGCTTAGGCCCGACTGCAGGGCCTGTGATCTCCCCACCAATGCCGAGCCTGTTTTTGTCAGAATAGTACATTAGAGACGTGGGATTGAATCTTTGATAATTTTTTGTCTGAAGATTTCAAAATGCAGAACTATAGGTAACTTTCTTTGACACTCATCGTCAGGTCCCTCTAAGGGAAGTAGGGGCGCGGCACACAGTGTCTCCCTCCCTGACTCCCGGGCCCCATGTTTCTGTCTACACCCTGGGCAGCACCCCCAGAGGCACAGGCTCTGTCATCTTGCCTGTAATTGGTACTGAATCATCCAGGGCCTGTCAGTGCCCTTCTCCGTGCGGCAGCTGGCCTGGGCATCCCTGGGCCTTCACCGACGCTGGCCCTCTGCACCAGTCCAGTTTCGAGTCTCCTTCCTGGGCCCCTGTGGGCAGACTCAGATGGAGGCCGTTTAAACACTGGGATGAGGAGCAAGTCCAGTAAGGACCCGCGTCAGCTTACCACAGCCATAGTGGGAGCGCGGGGAGCTGGCAGATGTCTCGGTGCTCTACTGGCTAGAAAGGGGGCCAGGGTGCCAATCGATATTGATTCTGTAAGGTAAGGATGCATATTGCAATCTCCAGGGAACCTAAGACAGTAAAATAATGAATAAATTTCAAGTTAATAGAAGGAAAAAATCGAATCATAAATAATCGGCTGTGTTTGAAAGAAGGTGGGGAAGGAGAGACAAAGGACAGACAGCATTTAGTGAGATGCTAGGATTTCGTCCAAAGATGTCAAATTAAATTCATGCTAAATGAATTAAGTATTCCAATTAAAAAAGGATTGTCAGATTTCATTAAAAATCTGTTGTGCTGTTTACTAGAGATACAACTAAAAGTTAAAGATACAAAAATGCAAGTGAAAGAATGAAAAGGATGCTCTGTGCCCGTGAATCAGGAGAACGGTGACGGAGCAGATTTAAGGCAAAAAGCATTTCTGAAGGTAGAAAGGGAGCCTTCATATTGGCACTGGCAGCAGGAAGCTGTCACTCTGAATTGTGTACGTGCTCAGAAACGTGGCGTGAGCAGCTCCCAGCAGCCGTGGGCCGGAGTGGACGTGAATGGGCTGCCCTGCACGCGCAGAAGGCGGTGTGAGCGCCCCCTGCTAGGAGCTGGCAGCAGAGCTCCCGCCGGGCTGCGTGCGGCCTCACCCAGCGCATGCGCCCTCCCACTCCCTCCGGCAGCACTTACGAAAGCTGACCACATGCTGACCCTCACGCAGGTCTCGGCAAATGTGGGTGATCTTCCCGCAGTCTGCCCTCTGCCACTGCAGGCGAAGCAGAACCAGAGGCAGAGGCCCACGCCACCTGGGAGGGAGGGAGCCACTGCCGAGTGCCCCGGGGCTCTAAAAAGAATCCCTGGAAGATTTTGAATGACAATGAAAACACACACGTCTAAACCTGTGGGGCAGCTAAAACTGTGCTTGCAGGGGCATTCATAGCTTTACTGTGTACGTGCCAGAAGTGCGGGTCCGAGGAGAGTCATCTCAGGAGCTTAGGAAAAGCTGGAAAACAGACACAAAGGAAGTGGAGCTGGGCCACAGTGAAGGCCAAGGCAGAAATCAGTGAAACAGAAACTAACAAACTCAACTAGCAAAAGAGTAAATAAAGAGGGATTACGTCCCAGCTCACTGTGAGGCCTCCGAAACCTTGCAGATGTTGGAGGAAGGAGTGACAGGGCAGCTCCTGGTGGCCCAGGCGTGAGGCCCAGACAAGAGGACATAGGCTGAGCCCTGCAGTTCATGTTTATTCCAAGGACCTCATCTTTTTTTAATACTGAAAATCAATCAGTGTAATTTACCACACTCACAGAGTAAAGTAGAAAAATTATATATCACCTCAAAAGAAGCAGGAAAGTCCTTTGGTAAAATTCAGTATCCATTCATGATTTAAAAATATGCAAAACTTAAAATAGGAATTAAAGGGAATTCCCTTAGTCTGATAAGGGTATACGAACCAACCCCTAAAGCATACATCATACCTAAGCTTTCCCTCAGATCGGGAGCAAGAGGAAGATGTCTGCTGTTGCCCTTTCCATCTTGATTTTTATTTTATTTCCTGGTCAGTATACCAGGAAAGTAAAAACAATAGAAGTTAAAAGACTTTCAAAA